TACTGTGTTTGGTCGTGACAATAACTTAAATATCATTGTAAATTGAACAGTTTAGTTCAATTGAAACACATATTTTTATTATAACTAACAGTATAACTGAGAGATTGTTTAGAAAGATTTAGATTATTCCAGACAATTCACGACCGTACCGCTTGTCCCTGACCATCACGTTGATGATTTCTATCATAAAAATTTAAAAAATTAAAATATCATCATATTTAAATGTTTTATACACAAAAGAAGCACACCTCTAGATAAAAACATAAAGATTTTTCGGGTCTCAGGTTAGTTTTTTTCGGAGTTATACAAACTTAAAGATTTTATTGGCTTTTTTCAATTTTTTTATTTTTTTTTTTTTTTTCTAGAAAGACCAAATATACCAAAAGCTTAGTGAGCTGTTTATTGTATAATGGTCATAAAAGTAAATTAATTTATAGCAAAACATAGTTTATTCAGTTTTATGTCCGTGATGGTCGTGACAAAATTTCGTGTTTTTCCATCAAAGATGCTCTATTAATAAAAAATCACCAAAGATATTGCGTTACCATGGACATTTAATAAAACTTCAAATGTCAATGAAATAAAAAAAAAATAAAAAAAGTTTCAAAAAACGGAACAAAAAATTTTAAAAGTGCTTTTCCTGAAAACGTACGTTTTTAAACTTTCACTCATTAACAGAATCATATTATATACTGTAATATCAAAAATGTTTTAAGTAACTTACTGCGACCATTGCAACTGTCGGGTCTACTCTTTCACCACTTGAAAACTCTCTATATCAACAAGCGGTAAGTTATACCACCTTTTGTCCCTGTTCCCGTCAGTAAAACCGTAATGGTAAAACCATAGAGATTTTTTGTTGTTGAATCTCTAGGATCTTTACTTAGAACTTCTCCCACTATTTTGGAAGCTTGGGCTTAAGGTTTTACCTCAAGTACCTTTGTCAAACCCAAACTTTGTAGTGTCTCATTCTCTAGTAGTTTCATCGTATAGTTTCATAAATATTAATTTTGCATTTCAGATATTTATGTGTTCGCGGTGTATTCCTTGTCTCCAATGAATAGTCTATTTCTATTCAACTTTTTAACATCTCTTCTTCTGTTTGATATGTTTTACTATTAAAAGCAGTGGTAGTTTAAAGATTCCTCATGTCGATCTTACGATCTTATGCTCAAAAGCAAACATTAAGGGCTACTCGTGCCTTTTGGAGAAACTTACTGTATAGTACTGTATTACTGTGGAGAAACCTTATTATATATAATACTACAAAACTGAGGAAAATTCTTTATACTGTATAAATGTTAAAATTAATCAAGAAATAAGGGGGTTTCGTTCACAAAAACAGCTAATTGTATATAAGGCTGATGATGTCGTCATTCTATCTTACCTCATTAGGTTTTCTCATTCACATCATTTATTTGTTGTTAGTTTAATATTGTTATTGATTAAAGTTGTTCTGAGAAGCAGTAGTTGTTCTGAGAAACGCTTGATAAATAAAGGCATTTTTATTTATTTATTTACACAGCCAACAACATATAAAAACTCTACGTTATCATGTGTTTTAACGTTAACAGCTGCTTTTAGTAGGTTATACCGTATGCGATTAATAATAATCTGTCTGTATAAGTAAACAAAAGCTTTCTCCATACGGAATGTACTTCAACTTTGAAGGCCAAAGTGGCAGTTGGGCAAAGTCTGAGTACTTTTTACTTAAAAGTCTATATAAGAAGCATTTCGTATTCACACATCAGTTGAATCCGTCGATTTTAAATGGATTAGTGTTTACAAGAAATTGCCTTCACGTATTAAATAAAGAGATGGAAAGCAGCTAAAAATTACAAAACGGGTGAGCATTTAGGTAGTTAAATGCTATTTGAAAGTCTGGTAGTCTGAATATAGGGCCAGGAAGCTAATCTTGAATAAGTAAATAGATGTCATGTTGTGTCAATCGATCAACAGGCCACCGGACCACTGACCATTGTCAACATTGACAATCTCAAATTATGATTCTTTTGTATCATTTATTGTCTTCAATAAGTGAATCACTGTCAGTGCACCAATTTACAAACTGATTACCGTTACATGTTTTAGGTACATTAAATAAATATCGACAGATGTGTTATTCTCATTGCTATGTTGTCACTTAAAAGTTCAACAATGTCCATAATTTTGTTTTGTGAGATTTATCAAAATATCACTTTGGCACTTACTATTCATACATTAGTACACAATAACAGTAAGTGTACAATGCTGTTGTCTGCTTGCATCATTGAGAGGAACTACTTTATTAATCCAGAATCCTGCAATAAGCTTAATTATATAACTCGCAGTATCCAAAGTCAGTGGTACCTCTGGTTCACGTTAATGTAATGTTTACTTGCAGTTGCAGTATCCAAACTCAATGGTATCTTTGGTTCACATTAATGTAATTCCTATTACAGTAGTACCTATTCAAAGTCTGATAGTCTATTCACGTAAATGGAAAGTCTACTTGCAGTAGCCAAACCCAATGGCAGGTCTATATTTGGTTTACATAAATGGAATGGCTACCTATATGGAGTATTTAAAGTCAATGGTGCATCAGCCTAATTCCTGCGACCCTAGTTATTGGTTTATTAATTTAATTGTAAATTATGCCCAATGATATTAATCCGATTGTTCTTCCCTTTTTCTCTGTTCGGTATTTGTAAATTGTAATGTGCTATTTTAGATGATTCGTTGTCTAACATGTTGCAACTGTTGTTTACCTTTTATTGTTATCTTGCAAATAATGTCATGGCGACCAATTAACCCATAAGGCCCATGTTAAATTTCTAAAAGTTTAAATTCATCTAGCGAAAAGCTTTGTGGTCTGATTTGTACCATTTCAGATTTATACCTTCCCATGATTGGTCACTATGACTGTGCTAAATTTCATGAAGATTACTTCAACCGTTCAGGAGTACTGTACTTGTAAAACAAAAGCAGGAGTGTTGTATAAGAGCTTTCCTCGCTTCGCTCAATATAGTAATTAAAAAAATAATATTTGACTAGCAGCAGCATTTAAGTTTAAATATCGATTTTTTAGAGTTTGATAAACCAAGCCTCATTATTTTTTTATAAATGATCAATGATTACTGGTTACTTCACTTGTACTTAACTAAAATATTGTTATAATGCAAAAACATGCAATTTTACAAGAAGATAAGATCCAAGAAAAAAAAATTACCTTGTGCATTAATATTTTCAGCAATGGTAATCATGGTTTTAGTACATTATTATTAAAAAATATAAAGCAAATTGACACATACTTTTTCCAGTTAAATCATTTGAGCAGTTTTTGAGAAAATTCTATTTTCCGTTATTTTATTGGGTATTATGGGTAAATCGCATTTTAAAATAAATCAATATTTCGAAAAATGAAAAAAATAACCCCTGGAGGTACAATGGTCTAGTGGTCTAGTCTAATGAAATTAAAACTGAGCTACAGGAAATCAGTAGGTAGATTACTGCTTGTTTCAGTTAATATAAAAATGTTGTATAAAAGGTGGTATATTTAGATGAGATAATAAACCCTTAAACCATGTCAATTCTGCTTGAACCCTGATAATAATAATTCTTGTAGATAGAGTCACTTACCTCACATATAAATGCACAGTTGTAGGTGTGGGGGTGGGGTGTAGTAGGAACATCCTCTAGTGTAATGTGTTGTGTTGTGGCAGGTTGCCTAGGAAAGTGGCAAGTCAATATCATCAACAGGTGCCTCACCTATCCTCCACGCCACTCCCTGGCTTGTAGGTGCCAACTAGGCTCAAACTGATGTGTTAACTCAACTTCCCGCCGCACCTGGTCTGCAGACTAAGAGAATTACCATTTGCTTGATTGGATTTTTCACTTATTTCCTTAATAGTGGGGATGAGTAGCAGGAAAATATTTCAGTTCTGGCGGGGAGCATATAACTTGGGGTTGTGATAATATATGAGCCGAAGAATTTAAAACCGCTCAGACCCCAATTTTTAAGGACCTCAGTCATCCGTAATGACGTCATCAAGATGGCAGCTGTAAGGGGATGCTGGGTTGCCATAAATTGGTTTTAACGCCCAAATATGTGAACCGATTCTAATGAAATTTGGCATACAAGTACTTGAATACATTATATCAGCCCAGGTTGTCAATGGTCGAGTTTGGATCAAGTCGTTTCAAAATGGTTGCCGCTAATAACTCAAATAATACAAATGTTTCAGTGTATTGTTCTTAACTCCCTCCAGAGATCTGCAGCAACCTATTAATTTTCCTTGCAATCACAGGTTGTGATGTCGTCCCTGCATTTCATAGAATAGGCAAAATACCCCCACCACAGCAAACCTGCAGACTAAGTGAGTTTCCATTACTCTGATTTGATTTTCAATTAAATAAATTTCAATAATATTAGGTTTCCTGAGTACCTAGGTTTGCTGCTATAGGGAGAGTAACAAAGAGAGTTTTTACTACGACTCAAGGCCAGTTGAAGCAAATAAAGTGGTGACAGAATAGGTGATTCGGCTGACGAGGCTGATAAGTGGAGAATCAAAATCGATCACCAATACCATCTTTTAACTTGTTAAAACAGTAATAAATGTAAATATATGTTTCAAGTGTTATTAGATGTAATTTTATTTACTTTTCATAAAATTAATAATATATTATGCTGAAGTTAACAGATTATTGTTGACATAAATAAAATACATTTTATACTTTGTTCGGCTATTGCTATTGAGTTTTAGTTAATTAGCAAATAGCAATTAATGCTGTATTTACAGCCTGAAGGTATTTTTTAGAGATTGTGAAAACAGAGATTGGTTGTATAAATACATATTGTCAGGTCAATAAAAATTACAACTATATCAGTTAGGAGTTGGTTAAAAAAGTATTTTTAGATTAATTATTGAAAATGTGCAGGTGTCATGTAATTTTATACTAATAAAATACCCTAAAACAGCTCATCTTGCAATTTTGAAGGGTGAAAAAAGCTTTAAGAAAAATACTACATATCCATTCATTTTATTCATACAAAGGTGAAGTAATTACAAACATATTTTACTTGTTTAGAGAGGGTACCAGAATTTAAATAACTACAAAACCAATGAGTATAATTACAAAAAGGCTTTTTCTCTTACAGGTATAATATATTTCTGATAATTTGTAACGTTTAACTGAACATTAAGGTTTTAAAAAAATTGTTAAAAACCTGCCTTAACAATAATGCAGTACAACAGTAGACTTTAAAAATAAATAAACATGCATTACATGTGACATGTGACATGTTCAATATTTAATATTGTTCAATAATTATAAACTACAACAATTAAATAAACATTATTAAATTGATTTAAGTTTTACTTTTAATACTACAATTTCCATGCTGTGTTTGTTTTCTTTATTTAACCTTAAATATAAAAAAAAACTAAATAAATATAAAAGTAAAGTTAAAGGTAGGGCTTACATTTAATTTTAGGTACATTTAAGGTAATGTTTTTCAGATTTGAAAAGTTTAGAAAACATATGTCCTAATCCTTTTTGCCTTATAAACAGTCCATTTATTCATATGGTATATCACTCGTAGTGTTCACAGCCAAGATCACTGCTACGATGTCACCTCTTCCATGGCTCCGTCAAACTCTACCTTGACAGCTTCATGAAGGCCCTCCACGTCTACCTCATGTTCTGGAGCGTTCAGCATGTTGAGAGTTACCTGAGTCACACCACACATTGTATGGATCAGAGTTTATCAAACAATACCAACTTGTGTTTATAAATAACACAAAGAATAATAAAATTTTGACTATTGACTATTTATCTGGATTTCACACTTTTACAACCATTCCTTCTTCTCTGTGGAGCTCTACTACTAGACACACTAAGTGTACCTTTAAGCAAGCGTAACTATAACTTGCTTTACTTTTACCATTGACTTTTCTTTTTGATATTGAAGTAAAGAATCTATCTATATAGACCAGCTGAAGCTAAATTTTTTCTGCGATGGCAGCATAAGCGTTGTCATCTCCTGCAGTGACGTTGACATTATCATCTTCTTTCGCCGTCACGGGAACGTCATCATCGACATCTGCGGTCGCGGCAAAAGCGTATTTTTTTTTACACAATCTTTGCAGAGGTTTCGAGTATTAGTAGGCTATTGAAATTGACTTATCACAATCAATTCTTGATACTGATACCAATGTCCAAGAATAGGTGGTATCGAGAATCGCCACATACTTAATTATCATCCATTATGATTTAAAGAAAGAAAACTGGTGGATACAATGTAATTGAGATACCACAAAATCTAAATGTTTCGGACAATCCTGTTGCTAATATTTATGAGAACGTGTATGCAATCCTTAAGAGCAAGGACCGCGCCATTTGGTGTTAAAAAATCAAGAATGATAGGCCTACTTAATTAATACTGTAGCGCAATCATGAACATTATTCCCGGCTAGTGCCAACAAAAATCAAATTTAAAAAGCGATAAGGTACTTACAGAAAACAACACTGGGAAAAATAGTTATCCTACCGAATTTTGAAACATCCACTCTGTTAGCGGTCTACAACTTCATATAGGCCTACTCAAGCTTAAGAAAAAAAGCATTGTTATGTTTATGAGAAATCTTGATATGTTGTCAGGCTTGATTAAAGGGTGTGTATGCATGTTAAAGGAATGTGTCGAGTGTGAGGTAGTCGGGACTCATCAGTCATCATGACATCATGGTCATAATCGGGATTTAACACTATCGGGGCTCATCGTCTGGCAAGTAAATACTGATTCCTAGGATCAAACTGCAGCTATTTAATTCTCTCACCTCCCTTTTGCACTTGCAAGATTTGCCCCTGTATCCAGATTGCACACAATTCTGTCTGCCAGGTCAGCTAGTAATAAGATTAAAATGCCTGGGATTGGGATATTGTCATATTGTCACGTGAGCTTTAGTATAGTGTAATGATCACTGGGTTTGCAATTATTTTCCAAATAATGTCAAATTAAAATAAACAATTACTCTACTTCTTTATGTCTTTCACATATACAGCTAACATCATTTATCAATATCAGTTTTAAAATTAATCCTTCGTAGCAATAACACTTGGCAATGTCACAGGTAATTAAGGATACAGCAAGGCACTCGGTAACCAGGTAGTCTGGACTTCTAGGTAAAACTGTAAAGATTAAGATCCTATGAAATCCCGTACTCAACAAGCCTTGGGCATTAAATTTATGTATTTAATGTTATGGTATTGTGAATAAAGTCTAAAGCCTACATGAGAAATAAAATGAAAATGTATTATATCATGTAGTTTTACTTTGGGACCTCTCTTTAACCTAGCACTCTTTCGCCCCACGTTGCACTTAGTTGGTCAAGACTGTAATATTTACACATTATCCACCTAATTTTAGTTACCTCCTGGGCTGTCTTGGTCAGCATGCCTTGCTGTGACTGGGACTGAGGCTGAGAAAGTTGAATCTGTCGCACTGGCAACCCTGCATCCTCAAATGCCTTCTTTTTAAGTGTGGTCCTGATCTGAGACCTGTAATCATCAAGCGTAAAAAGATTAAATTTTGATGACACCAATACACCAACGTGCACACTAAAAGGCAGAAATTAGTGTTGAATGAGATGATAACCTGTTTGCTAACTAAAATATGCAGATTCTTTTCCAGAATCATGATTTATTAAACATCTGATGATTGAGGAATGTAAGGTAAATTTAGAAAATGACAAGATGAACTTTGATATGGCAGAGGAGAATATTTAGATGCGCGGTAAACAAAATACCTAAGGGAGTATGTTTAATCTATGAAAATACCCCCGCCGCAGCAAACCTGCAGACTAAGCGAATTTCCATTTGCCTGATTGGATTTACACTAAAATGTCTACTTAAAAAACATTTATTTCCTATTTAAATAGAATTAGTTTAACAAGTACTTAGGATTGCTGCATCAGGGAGGGTAAAACTTTTTTTTTTTTGTAAAATGTTAATAGTTAGTAAAAAAATAAAAACATTTTCCAAATTTTATCAAAATATGTTCATAAACAAGCAAACTACAACAGTTTACTTATGGGAATTTTAAATTTAAATTTTTTTTTTATTTTCTCCGTAACCATTAGGCGTATAATAACGCTTCAATATACTAAATTATTTGTTTTTTTTAAGCTCTACAAAATGGTTTGGAAAGAAATTGCTAAATTTTATGTTTTTTGAGTCAAAAATGGGAAAAACCTATTTTTACCCCATAAAACCCCCCGTAAACCCCTGTTCCCATAGTCCGATCATGCTGGTTCGCGAACTGGTTCAAGTTTATCCCGCCTTACACCTTCATACCAAATTTTATCAAAATCGGACAAAAATTACTCAAGTTATCGTGCGGATGGACACATATATATATATATATATATATATAGATATATAAAAATTTGAACGATTGGTGTTTTTGGCCTCTGGGGACATCAAAATTAATAAGTAAATCGGTCCCGGGCCTAGGTCTTACCATGAGACCTACGGTAATAGCTACTTCCCTATAGGGAAATTCGCTAAAAAACAATTTTTGAAAAACCTCAAAACCTGATCATGCTGGTTTGCAAACTCATTTAAGAGTTCATAGGGCTACATATGAAATAGGTTATAAATTTTAAGAACTGAGTTAAGAACTGTCTAAATATAAAATTATTTGATAGTTACCTAAAAAAAATACAAAATTAAGTGCGTTGATTGTGACAACTATTATTGGACTAATATATAGAAATTTTAAGTAAGATTCAATGAACACCTCTAGGCATACAAATAAAATACCCCAGCCACAGAAAACCTGCAGAAAAAGTTAATTTCAATTTGTCTAATTGGATTCAAACTAAAATATTTTTAAAAACAAGACATAGGCCTACTTATTTCAAAACTTTTAACGGGTACTTAGGTTTGCCGCAATGGGGAAGGTAAAATGATTTTTTTTACCAAATGTTAATAGTATAGGGGAAAATAAATAAATTTTGCCAAATTGAACCCAAATATATCCATAAACAAGCAAAATACAACAGTTTACCTTATTTCCATAAGAATAACATGGGAAATTTAAATTTACCATTTTTTGAAATTTTCTGTGATTAATTTTAATAACCGTACAAAATATTTTCAATACCTATACTAAATCATTTGTTTTTAAGCTCTTCAGAATGGATTAAAAAGAAGTTGGAAAATGTTATGTTTTTGAAGGTCAAAGATGGGAAAACCCAATTTTTATCCCATAAAACTCTGCTGTTCCCATGGTCGGATCATGCTGGTTCACGATCTCATTCAAGTCTATCCTGACCTACAACTTCGACCCAAAATTCATGAAAATCGGAACAAAATGACTAAAGTTAATGTGTTGACGGACACACACACATATAATATTTATATATATTTACATATATAAACATTTTGAACAAATTTTGTGTTTGGTCTCTGGGGACATCAAGATGAAAAGGTAAATCAGTCCCGGGTCTAGGTCTTTCTTTGTCGCCTACAGTAAAAGCTTCTTCCCTATAGCGAAATTCACTAAAAACAAGTCAACACTGTAGTTAATGGGAGAATATTTGCTCTGGACCTATGGCTGGTGAAAAGTCTGGAGAACAAGAGTGCTAGATATCTAAGTTCTGAGGTATTGACTGCAGCCCTTCTTAACATTAATATAGTAGGCTCGCCTATTTTATTATGGCTTGTATAAAAATTTAAAAACGTAGGAGTTGGATAAGTTATGGAAAGTAAGATCTACATTTAAACATGGAAACACACTTACACAGTCCTGCCTTTGATGTGTTCACTGATCTGATTAAGGTCATCTCCAAATCTTTTTACTGCTTGCCTCAGCATTTCTATCTCTTCTTCAGACCATTTACTGATTGCAAACAAGTAAAACAAAGAGCTTACAATTTTTTACATGTTCACTACAGGTGACATTTTATTAGTTTAACTGTAATTCTTTTAAACAATAGGCTACTGCAGAACGGCGTTAATTGCGTTAACTATACCTTCACTATGTGGTCATAAAAATAGGGGGTTTTAACTCCCAAATTTTTAACTTTTATAACATTTATTTAAAAAAAGAAACTTGGAATTTACACAAAATCTATTGTAGGAACTCCCAATAAAAAAAATTAATTAGAAAATAATAACAATATTTATTGTAAAAAGGCCTGAGAGTAAAAAACATTTACTGTATATTCCAAAAATCCTCTAATAAATAAGAAGCCTTCCCAATTATGATAGTCATGCTTTGACTCATGAATAACTATTCACACATTTTTTACACAAATTTTCCAATTTTTAAATGTCTAGCAGCTGACACACTATGTAAGCTGGTAAATAATTTCAGAAAAGTGTTTAAACTCCATCAATAAAGAAACTATAATTTGTTTTGTGAGTGAAAAACTAAACCAAAATATGTGCAGTAGCAAAAGATGCTTGTGCGCTTGCGCAGGCAGATGGCAGAACAGCTGGCAGACTCAGTTTGGTGAGGACATTTTCCTAGTGCCAGCAAGGATGATATCGGTTTGTCCAATATCGAAATCTTTAATTATTGACTGATTGTTAAGCTTTAGCATAGACAAAAATAATTTAATATAGACTGTCAGCCAAGCTACAGTTACCACGGTTACCATAGGTTCAGACGCACACCACTGGGAGCGCCGTGTAGTTACGTAGCGCATAACTTACGCCGTAGCTACATGGCGCTCCCAGCGGTGTGCGCCAGAACCTATGGTAACCGCAGCATGGCTGACGGTCTATATTTAACTATTTTTGTCTATGGCTTTAGTTCAGTTCAGAATAATTTTTGGATTGTTTAGTTTTTAAGTAGTTTTCTCATTTAATTTTATTGCTTATTTATTACCACTTCCGTTTACATTTTTATTTGGTATTATTATTATTAAAGAAATTGGTTTCTCTGCTCAGGAAATGGAACACGAGTAGGTAATCAAATACAAACTTTACTGAAGAAGAGACATAAAACAAATTGTACACTGGAAAACTGTTTCTAAAGAAAACTTGGAAAATGCTGTATTTGGTTAAAACTAATTGACGTCAAAGCGACCAGCTTTATTCTTCTAAGATGTCCTGAATAGTGTGCATTCTAAATCAGGAATATGTAGGATTACTGAGATTATTAATGTGATACAAATTCAAAACCTGTCACTACGAGTACAATTGTCTAAAGCCTTGAGTTATAAGGGACGGTTTTATAAAATAAAATAACCTTATTGTTATGTTGTCTAAAGTTAACAAATACCGTACGTTTTTGAATTCATGCTTTCTAAAATAAAGATATAAGTTTAACTATTTACATGCACATTAGAAGTGAATCGTTTCAACAGTTAATTTAACTAGAACGCCCGTAACCTATTATATTATTAACGCACCATGTCAAACTAAACCTAATGCAAACTAAACCTAATGTCTTTTGCGTTTCATTTGGTGAATCAGGATTAACATCTGTGTGGCTTATAATAAATTAGGCCTAAGTAAATTACTTAACTTAGGTAACAGAGGGGTAACCCATCACTATCTTACCCTGCAGGAGAGTCCGCTGTGGGGTGCAACTGAAGAGTCAACTCCCCAAGTTTGTTGAAAGCAGTCCCTGCTGCAGTAAATATCTCACCAACCTGTATGAATTGAGTATTTAAAAAAAATTGAAATTTAAGCTATTTTACTTACAACAAAAGTAGATTTATTAAAATCCTTCTCAGTTACAGAACTTGAAAGAGTATTTATAATGAGTAAGGCCTACCCTACCCATATTAACTTACTAGCTGTAACCCGCGGGCTTTGCCCCGTTTAACTTCTTAATTTTCAAGATTATCACGGCTTTCATGGCTCAATCACGTCCTGGTTGAAGTTTGTTCGCTACGCTCACTCACCTTTAGGTTGGAGCTCGTTCGCTACGCTCACTCACCTTTAGGTTGGAGCTCGTTCGCTGCGCTCACTTGCCTTCAGGTTAGCTCGTTCGCTACGCTAACTCGCCTCCAGGTTGAAGTTCGTTCGCTACGCTCACTCACCTTTTGGTTGCAAATTAGCTGTTGTCATAAATGTAAAAGAAATAATAGTGCTGCACCCTGTTGGTAATCCTTGTAACTTTAATGCTATTGAACATCATAGAACAGAACCAACTTGTTTAATTGAAACAGCTGTTAAGATTCAATAATTCCATTTCTCATAAGGTTAACATGGGAAATTCCAGAGCCACTGGGGCGGAGCCCGAAAGGATTTTTGAAATAAGAATATGCCTATATGTTAATCGGGAATGTGGGCTATCATCATGCCAAATTTCAGCCCAATCCGACCAGTATTTTTCGAGTTTACTTTTCCCATACACACATACAGCAACCACCTCTTTTTTATAATAGTATAGATTTTCCAGCTCCAGCCAAAATTATATCTCAACTCAACCAAAGCACTACTGTATTGTATTGTGTTATGACAGTGGTAGAACCACTGTTTTGGTGACAAGTGTTAAAGTAGCAGTAGTTTTTGTTTCCCTTTATTTACACCACAACCAATTTTACTGTAGTACTGATCAGGCGTAGAATGAGTTCTATATACTACACAGTTTTTAAAATTCATCATGAAGTTGGTTTTTAAATGTTAATAATATTAGACTTTTCCGACGTTTCTTGTGTTTAATATGTACTACACAACGTTTCTGGAGGGGGATCTACTCCTGTTTTTAAGTGAAAATTTCTAACTTATTCTAATTAATCTTAATTGGCATACAAAAGGTAGCCAGACACAAAAAAAAAACTCCTTGGGTCTAGTGGAAAAAATATTTACAGCATATATAACTTAGTACGGTATATTAAACAACAATAAATACCCCGCCGCTACAGCAAACCTTGATCATAAGATACAGTATAGGCCTACATAAACAAGCAAACTACAACAGTTTAGGCCTACTTATTCTCTATAAGAATGTGGGAATTTTAAATTTAGGCCTGCAATTTTTTTAATTTTCTCCCTAGCCAATAATTGTAAAAAACGCCTCAATAGCCTGGATACTAAATAACCCGAGATTTTATTTTTACGCTTTTTAAAATGTTTTTGAGAGAAATTGGGAAATTTTATGTTTTGGGGGCCAAAAATGAGAAAAACCAACTTTTACCCCATATCCCTTGTGGAGCCGAAATCTTTCATTTCTCCAATCATGTTAGACATAAGCTCCATCATCAGAATATACAGTAGATGACACGCTTTTATAAACTTGTTATTAAAATAAACTTGGGACTATGCTCTTCATGCCATGCTGTCATTGTGCTGGTGGTAAGTTAATGGCTCCAGGGAATCTGAATTTAAAACTGGGTTTTTTTATAGTTCACATGTAATAACTGTGACTTTAATAATGTGAATAGGCCTACAATTATGGATGCAGCACGTTCCAAAACATTGCAGGAATTAAATGTGTGACACCACCAGACTGCATTGTAAATGCCAAAGATCGGTTCCCTAAAGAAACACGACTAAGGCATTTCCAGTTGACTGAGAAAAAAGGAATTTCACTAGTGAAGCTGACAGACTTTCATTAAAATCCATGTTTTAGCCCCTGAGCTGTATAATAACTAAAAACTTTAGTGGTAGACTTTCAAATGATCCCAGGTTTAGGCCAGACCTTAATTCGTATTCACGCTTGTACACTCTCCCTCCGCATGACGTGATGTTGTGTGGATACTAGGTAACTTAAGTAGCCTAGTGGAATGTGAAAGGATTTCCAGGATGGCAAGGATTTCTTGAAAATGTAACAAGGACCGGATACAGTGTTAATTCCAGTATTCTGACTAACTTAATGTCTTTTATCATGGCGCCTCCTAATGATGTTGACACTGATCACACAGCTTTACTTAAGCCAAGTTGCTGATGCTGGGGTGAGAGGAGGTGTGGAAAGAATAGTGGTGAGAATCGAGAATCAATGTTTTATTCCAGCACTTTAAATGTTTTATAGGGTATTGTGACATTAGGGGGCCTAGATCTGCCATATGTAACTTACAGAGTATCCAAAAGGGCCCGGGTCTGTCGAATATTTTTTTAATATTTAAAATATAGCTACAAAACCTTGCACATAAACAATTATTTAACACATTATTCAGTGATCCGCTACTTCCTCAGGGGTACGGCCCGCCAGGAGGAGCCAGAAGAAAATCTTAGCCTAGGTAAGGCCTAAATAAGAAAAGGTTCTTTTTATTAGAATGGGCCTACAATGCCACAAATTTGAACACAAACAGACAACCGAGTCAAAAATTGGCTGTTTTAAATAAGTTATTGGGCCTAACTTAGCCTAAGTTACCTAGCAGTGTTTCCAAGATTATTATCCCGAAAACGGCGCTGTTAGACAATGAGCAGGATTAAAACAGAATGTGGGATGATACAGGATTTTTGGCTATAACGACTAAGTTAGGCCTATTTTAATATTGTTCTACTTCATTTTAGAGAAAAATAGGCCTAGGCTACTCCAACTGGTCAACTTGAACTACCGGTAGGTACTGGATTTTTCATAATTCAAAAGCGGGATTAAGTTTAGAGGCCTAAACGGGATTTCTCAACACAGTTAGCAGGATTATTTTTTTGGTCGTGTAGAAACACTGCTACCTAGGCCAAAAAAATCTCGATGTCTCTAGTAGCCTAGGCCTAGGCTAAGTCTGGTTAGTTAGGTTAGGTTATGACAGTTTCACCTACGTATATAATTATAGATACCGGTACCCTAAGTAGGCTATATTTAAAAATATTGATTAATAATCAATATTTTCAATTCGATTACTTAGTTTCAATCGATATTAGCATAGCCCAGTTAACTTCTCCTAGGACTATCTATAGCCTATGTCATAAAATACTGTGTAGTACTAACTTATACCCTGGGTGAAACTTTGTTATCCAACTTTATGCAGATAGGCCTAGACCTATTTACTACCTAACATTAAAGTCTTAATATGTTCTCCAACAAATGAGGTGACTTGGGAAACCGGAGGCTTTTATTGCCTATAAATAATTATTTTGCTATGTGTAGCCTAATACTTACTTTGCTTGCTGAATTCATTTTTCTCACTGAACAAGCCACCTAATATCAAAACAAACAAGCTAAAGTAGGCAAGTCAAGTTTAAGTTATGCACAAGGACTATTTATTTAAGTTTGTTAAGCCTACTAACTGTTGTATGGTTGTATACAGCTAGGGAAGAGGTAGGCTACGAATATAAAATTCGATCACTACCGACTTCTTACGATCATTAGTAATTAGTAAACTTTCTTGATCATAATTTCATTCAGAAACAGAAAATGCAAAACAAAACAAACTTACTCCACAACCATAACATAACCTAACCTAATAAACAAAAACATAGCGCCAAGCGGGGAGGGAAGCGGCGGCGAATCAAAAATCAATCCATTCCCAATCCATCGTTCGTTGTCGTTGAGTCACTTCGGTCACTCAAGTCTCGAGCGTCGGGTCGCTGAATTTTTATTTCAGGATTAGTGTTGCCTACAGTATTATTTTGAGGCTTCTGATTGGCTGAGGGAACATCATTACCGCAACGATACGGTTGTTGCTAAAGCACGGGTCACACTAGGCTGTTCGCCAGCCGCTGGTGATCAGCAGCTGGCACCAGCATCACCGGTTCACCAATCCAGGCTGAGTCAGCTCAGTGTCAGCTGCGAATTTTGTGGTCACATTAAGCTGACAGTCGCGACTTCTTTCAATTCGCCGCTGATGCCAGCCTAGTGTGACTCGTGCTTAACGGCCTCGGTGGTGTAGTGGTTGTAGTGCTGGGCTGATGTTTCGAAGGACCCGGGTTCGAATCCCATCCATAGCACTATTTTTTTGTATTGGGTTTTTTCACTATCAACAAGTTTGGTTGGTTTGGTTAGGTTATGATGGTTGAATTTTATTATGATATTGAATTTGACCCATTTATAGTTTTATTTTATGAACAGAAATATTTTTTTTGGTTAAACCTTCATTTGATTTTTCATTATTAGCAAGTCTGGTTAGTTTGGTTAGGTTTAAATTTTAGAATAAAAAATTATAAAATAGGATTTGAGGCATTTATAATTTTATTTTATGAACAGAACTATTTTTTTCGATTAATAAACCTTCATTAGACTTTTTCATTGTCAGCACGTTTGGTTGGTTTGGTTAGGCTCATCGACATATAAAACTAACTGGATTGCGCGCAGGCCGTAAGGCTCGTGTAGAGCTTTCCGAGCCAATACAGGTGTGTATCGGGGTTGCCGCATGGGCAAATTGAAGGCAGCATGTGGGATATAGCGCGCGAAACCATGTTGTCTACACCTGACCTTGGGCGCATGTGCGTGTTACAATAAACCTCCCTCAGTCTACGTCTACAAAATGTCTACTTCTTTGGTAAAATTTGAATACTGTAACGGCTATGAATATCAATATTTAACTGTAAATTCGTATTTATAATAGCTGTTTTCATTGCATTATATTTTTCAGAAATAGGAAAATGAATGTCAAACTTGCTGCACAGACTTTAAGTTCAAGCGTTACCGACGCGCTAGAATTTTTACTAAGGAATGACCATCCTGATTTCATAGGTTGTGAGGCAACAATTGAGTTTTTGAGGATTATTGATCAATTGTTTGATTTTTTTAACAGCAGGGATCCATTTGGGAAAAATGTCAAAGCACCGATACGGAAGGACAATTTAGAGTATATAAATGGTATGCTACAGAAATCTTTGAACTATTTTACCTGTTTGAAAATTGAAAAATTTCCTATTATTAATCATGCCAGGAAACCGTTTGCTCTCGGCTTCATCACCAACATCCACACGATAAATATTTTGATAAAAAGTTTATTAGAGGAGCATGAATTTAAGTACATATTAACGTACAAGTTTTCTCAAGGCCACCTGGAATTGTTATTTTCCTGTATAAGATCTCGAGGAGGAAATAACAATAATCCAAATGTGAAACAGTTCCAGTGGGCTTTGAGAAAACTTAAGTTTCGCAATAGTGTCCAGCCATCTGATAAAGGCAATTGCTTATCATTTGACTTCAATCAACAAAGTTCTGTAATGAGCTTCAACGAATTATCCCAAGTAGTTGGACATAGTGATGAAGCCGATGATGCTGATGATATAGAATGTATGTCATACATTTAGAAGGCATAGAAAAGTCGTCTTACTATAAAGATAATGTACTATATTATATTTGTGGTTATGTTATTCGAAAGTTGGATCCTAAACTGAAATGTGAAGAATGTAGTAATCTTTTAGTAACTGGCGATTCAAATCCAAGCCCTTGCACTAATTTTACTGATTTTCTATCAAAAGGAAAATTAATCAGGGCTTGCCCAGATGTACTAAAAATTGTTAAGTTCATGTACAATCAAATTGTTGCATATTCCAAGGATTGGCAAAAGTTGATGCCTCAAAAAATATTTCATTAGCATGTAGAACCTTTGCTGGTAACGTTTTTCTTAATCATAAAGGTAATAATGAATTTGGCGAGGAAAGCCATGACATGAAATTAATCAAATTAATTGGTATTATGTTTTACAAAATTATATGCCACAGCATTTCTAAGCGTAAAACAGCAGAAGCTTCTCTGTCAAAGCTTGGTATGCGGCAGAAGTTAAATAAGCTTATTCTTTTTAGCAATGTTTAGGCTAAATTTGTTTCTTTGTTTTACAAAGTTTCCTAAATAAAATGTTTCTTATATAATCTATCCTTGTTCTTACTAATACCTTACCCCCGAATATTTTGTATTTTACGAGAAACTGATAAACCCCATTTTAACATGAACTATTTTGTATTGTAACATTGAAACATAATTGGTTTCGTTAGTAAGTGAAGAAAGAACCAAGTCATAAAGGTTTCTTAATTGTACTATTTTATTACTTTTATTCCATCATCAAAAAAATTAAAATCGGAATTTAAATTATATTTGATCAGAAACCTCAGTGTGAAATATCCGCCGTCAGTTAATATTTATTAATTGTGGTACCCGAACTCGGTTACTCACAGCGTTACTTTTACACTTTTATTACTTGTAAAAAGTTCATGAAAATTGATTATTAAAATGCCCTACATCGTTTTAGTAGAGAGTAAAGGGCTGTATAAAGTGCATCGTCCTGGCCGCGACAATGCTAAGATGTGGCGCAGCGAGACGCTTAATCCCACATGACGCCTGCAAAATCTAAAACGCAACCCCGGTCATTGGCTCGGGTCGCGGAGCCTAGCAGCCGATCCAGTTAGTTTTATATGTCGATGGTTAGGCTATGACGGTTTAATTTCATAATAAAAAATATAAAATTGAATTTGAAGCATTTATAATTTTATTCTATGAACAATAGTTATTTGTGCAACTAGTGAGAAAAGTGAGCAATTGACTCACTCAAGAGAAATCCTTACTCACGAGCCGTAGGCGAGTGAGGAATGGTTTCTCGAGTGAGGCAATTGTACTTTGAACTCGAGTTGCACATTATACTTTTCCTACAGTTACCATAAAACAAATAAAATGGTGAAGAAACATAACCTATTTTTACACAGAAGTGAACTTTTAATATAACATTTAATGTGAAGTGACAAATACAACAGTACAACAGCTGACCAGCTGATTTACAGCCAGTGCTGCCAACGTATTTCGCGCGCATACAACGTTGCCTGCATGTTACGCGCTCACTATTTCGTGCCTTCTCGTTGCAAATCTGGAGTGAGACAAAGTAATTAGAGTGAGACAATGTTAACATTGTCTCACTGATGAGCGAATCGGCAACTTTGCTTTCTCAAATCAGTGAGAGAACATGTACATTGTTGGGTAACTGTAGGAAAAAATAATTTTTCAATTAATAAACCTTCGTTATAGTCAATCGGAAGCCTCTAAATGACACTGTTGGCAAAATTAATCCTGAAAAACAAATTGTGCCGTCGGGTCAGCTGAGTTCAATTTAGTCCACTACTGCTAAAAGTCGAATAATTGGATTTTAGAAAAAAGGCCGGTTTTGATTAAAATTAGTATGTTGTTATGGCCCTTAACATTTGGAACAAAAATAGTACAGATCCACGGCAGCCTTTAACTGAAGATATAATGTACTTCAGAGTAAGTCGTATAGTTTTAATCACTTGATGCCAGGATCCGCTCAGTCGTTGCTGGGTTTTGTTCCAGGGGTCAGAAACGAATGGTTCGAACGGTGCCTAAGATACTAGACAGTGTTTCGAGTCGTCTACAATAGGGCCACACCCATCAAAGCCACCGGGAATGCTGGGTTTTCACTAGCAGGATATCGGTATATCTAATTCTATGGATTACTCCAGCAGGACGGGGTCGTGCTCGGATTTCTCTAACAGGACTCTGGGTCGTGCTTGAATTGCTCTAGCAGGATGGGTGTCGTACTTGGATTGCTCTAGCAGGACGGGTGTCGTGCTCGGATTGCTCTATCATGACGGGTGTCGTGCTCGGATTGCTCTATCATGACGGGTGTCGTGCTCGGATTGCTCTATCATGACGGGTGTCGTGCTTGGATTGCTCTAGCAGGACGGGTATCGTGCTCTGATTTTGCTCTATCAGGGGCCCATTTCATAATACAGTACAAACTAATATTATTAGTAAATCAGCTGATTACCCAATGCAAATCTAATGGAAATTACAAGTTACAAGTTGTAACTTATAACTTGTAGCTTATTATGAAATGGGCCCCAGGACGGGGTTGCGTTTGGATTGCTTTTGCAGGACGGGTGTCGTGCTTGGATTGCTCTAGCAGGACGGGCAACTCGTAGAATACTTACAAACCCGTGGACTGCTCTGGTCGATGTGTCCAGTTCGGCTGCTCCAGCTAGGCTGACAGTGGGCTGTAGTGGCTCCGTATTTATGCGCTCCAGGCCGCGCATGCACAGTAGGGGAGTTTTGCGTTATAGTTGTCGTCCTCGTCCAGCCATCGTCGGGTCCACATAGCTCTTGGTTTCTGCATCGTTGCAAAGGGGCTGTGGCAAAACTTACCGGTTTTGAGGTTAGGTGGCGTCGTCGCCTCTTCTCCTCGACCCGGCATGTCTGGACTGGACCGCCTGTCCTCGTTGGCGACGCTGGGCTCTATGGCGGGTGGTTTGGAGAGCTTTTTGAGGCGGTGGAATTTATGAAGGGTGTTTAGGTTAGGGAAAGTTTCAGGTTGGTACACTAGGGCGTCGTGAGGGTTTGGGGGAGCTTAATGCGCGAAGCCGCCCTGGGATCAGCGACGCGTCGTGGGTAAGTGACTTTATGGGTTAGGGGTACTAACCTCAAGCGTAAGGTCTGTCCTGACGGCCCTGGTTCAAGGCCTAACGAATCAGCAAATTGTTGGTACACAACTGAATAATTGAGGAGGATCAGAAATTATATGTCTTTT